GGAGGAAGCTTTGTAGGACGAGTTCTGATTTCCCTCTTATTTGCGCAATGTTGTTATTAGATGATCCTCTTGTGCGGGAGTCAACTCCATGAATGTAGTTATGTAGGTCGGTAACGATGACGTTATTCATAACCTTGTAAAAAAAGGTGTCTCTGGCCCTAGCTCTCCTGAGTTGAAGGGTTTCCCATCCAAGGTGTTGTAACATTGAAGTGACACATCCTTGATCATAATCAGTGTAGTTGTTGCACACAAATTTGGCTGCTTGTCTCTGTACCCTCTCCAAGGTATTTACATGAATCTGTTGATAAGGGTCCCAAACTGTGGAGGCATACTCCATGATAGGACGGGCTAGGGTGGTCTCTCTGGACCTCACTGGTTCTGGGCAAGCTCTAAGGTTGCGCCTCAGGAAACCTACAGTTCTGGTGGCCTTGACTGCGGTGCTCTGGATATGCGTCTTCCATGAAAGGTCACTTGAAATGTTGACACCCAGGTATTTTGCGGTATCGACGGTTTCTAAGTTGAATCCATGAAGGTTGTAAGAGTGACATAATGTCTTCCGTTTCTTGGAGATGTGCATGGTTACGCATTTGGATGGATTTAAAGCCATTTGCCATGAACCCACGTCTGAAGGTTTTCCAGGTCCCTCTGCAGTTTCAGACTGTTTGAAGAATTACGTATGTGTCTAAATATGACACAATGGTCAGCGAAAAGTCGTACTTGGGAGTCCACTGTCGTTGACGTAGATCAGAAAGAGTAGGGGGCCAATGACCGTGCCCTGTGGTACACCAGATAATACGTCAGTTTGAGAGGATGACATCCCATCGAGAACAACTGTTTGTTTCCTGTTCTTCAAGAAGTCTTCGATCCATCGCAGTATGTTGTTACGGATGCCGTAGTGATGTAACTTAAGAATTAGCTGTTGATGCGGAACTTTATCGAAGACTTTGGAGAAGTCAAGCAGTATCATATCCAACTGCTTCCCTTGGTCTACACTCTGAATGAATTGATGGATGGTCTGGACCAGCTGGGTTTCACAGGAACGGCGGCTCCTAAAACCATGCTTTGTATCAGATAAAAGATCATGAAAGTCTAGATGTGATATTATAGAGCTATAGATGATATGCTCTGCAAGCTTGGAGCATATGGCGGTTAGTGAAACTGGTCTGTAGTTTGCAGCTACTGATTTATCCCCTTTCTTGAAAACAGGTGCAATATTAGCCGACTTCCAGTCAGATGGGACCGAGCTTGAATCAAGAGATAGTTGGTAAATGCGTGCTAGCGCAGGTGCGATGATTGCGGCCACTTCCTTCAATAGTCTTGGCGAAACAGAGTCAGGGCCTGAAGCCTTGTGAGGGTTTAATCCTCTGAGTAGTTTAAGGACACCTTCAGGGCTGATCACAATTCCGGGCATCTCTGGATGTGATCCAGGAGGTAAACTAGGTAGGCTTGTGAGGTCCTCTTTGGTATATACAGAGCTGAATTGGGAGTTGAGAAGTTCGGCTTTACCAGCGGCATCACTAGTCAACAAACATCTTGCATCTTTCAGGGCAGCTACACCTGAGGCTTCTTGTTGTTTACTCTTGACGAATGAGTTAAATCTCTTGGGGTTACTGTGAAGGTCTGGACTGATGATGTCGGCCACATGAGTTGTGTGCCTTGCGAATATTACGACGGGCCTCGTTCTTCATACTCTTGTATCTTGACCAGTCTCTGTCTTTACCTGTAGATTTTGCTTTGTGGTATGCACGGTCTCTGCGTCTTAAGAGACGTCGGATAGTAGCAGTCATCCACGGATTTGTGTGCCTGGAGCGTGTCACCTTATGCGGAACATTATCTGACTGTATCTTTAGAAGGTTAGTACGGAAATCCTCCCACATAGCATTAACATCCTGGAAGGAGGTAACCAAAATTCTCTAACATAGGCTGTAACATCCTCATGAAGGGTTGTAATATTGGCGTTTTTCCATGAGTAGATGGTACGTCAAGTTGGTTTAAGACGGTCCGCCAGTACATTTGAGTCAACGATGATGGCTTCGTGATCCCCTACACCGGGAATGATCCGGCATTTCGTTACGACTGACAGGTTGCTAGCGAGGAAGACAAAAAATATTCTCATCACGTGTTGGCGAAGAAACCATCTGTTCGAGACCACAAGTAGATACAAGATCTAAGAATGCCTCATTCACATCCTTGGGGTACTGTTTCCCGGTCACTGAAAGGGAGGGCCAGTCAATATCAGGAAGGTTCCAGTCGCCCCCTATCCAAAACATACTATTGGGGTGATTAGACCGTAGATTGCAGATTTCCTTTGTTGTAGCTATGGCGTGCTGGTACTCCGACATATTTGGAGGTCTGTACAAAACTGAAACTAAAAGAGATTTCAAACCTTTGAGGCTAATCTTGACACATAAAAGTTCAGAAGTTTTGCTGCAGAATACAGGTGAGCTAATAAGCGTGTTCTTGATAGCTATGAGGACTTCTCCATGAGAGTCTGTGGCTCTGTCATTTCTGTAGGTAATGAAGTCCTTGGGGATGACTTCAGAAGAATGAACTCCACCATGGAGCCAGGTTTCTGTGCCGATAATGATGTCGGGATTACAGATTTCAGTAAGTGTTTGTACCTCCGGCGCCTTATTCTTAATACTCTGGAAGTTGATGATAAGGGATCTCAAGGAGTTATGGTTATGTCTAGATGGTGATTTAACATTTCTTGTACCGCTGTTAGACGGGAAAGATGTAGCCAAGAGGTCGCCAATAGATAAGTTGTGTGGAGTTGTTGAAAGCACACTCGAGCTGTTAGGGCTATGGTTGCCGCTAATGCTATCAAAAGGGTTACTGTCCGCCCATACAGATGTAAATAAGGTGGAGTGGTTGGGGGCATCACAATTAGTGCAAAACCATACCGTTGATTTGTTTGCTAGTAGGCTGTATTCTGCAAATGACACATGAAACCACTTATCGCAAGGCCCCTTTGTCCCCATTTCACAGCTTTATTACATATCAAACAGGGGTACTTTTGGCGATATGGGTCTGGGTTTAAAGCGACTTGTCCGCCAAGTAAGAGGAGAAAGCGAAGATATTGTCTCGAGTCATAGGTATGGCTGCGAAGGACCATTGCGTGAACACAGGTCATCCAAAAATATATACATTCGAAGTTACTTGCTTTATTCCGGGAGAGAAATGAAATGTTTTGGTCAAATGTTACTTCACAGTTTGAAACTGGTACATTGGTATGGCATGTGGCCAATTCCTGTGATGCACGAATGGTGACATTATGAATATCCAGGTCTTTAATAGTAGGGATAGTAATTACACCACAAAGCAGCAATAAGAGGATGGAGAACATGTATATGTGCGGCATCTCGAGGCTTGAGACAGGCAAACAATGTTTGCAGTAGGCTTTCACAACTTGCAACCGCTCACGTGGGTATGAGATATAATATGGATATTGATGGAAATACATGGAGAAAGTATGCAGGATGTTAAACACATAATGTTAGTGAGGACGAAGTCATTGGGTACTCTGGTTGTTTGCGAGTAGCGCAGTGGAGGGAATACGTGGTAGAGATTGGGCTTGACAAAATGTCTGCCGACGAGAGGGATGACAAGTCAGGATAACACGGCTTGTAAGATGGAGAAAAGACCTGGATTTTGCACAAAAAGGGCGTGGGAGCTGATCTTACACATCCTTAGTACAATGTTACCACATTAAGTGGTTGTAATACCATCGTTGGTCCATGTTTTCTTTCAATTTAGTAGCATTTTGGGAGAGCTGTTGGAAACGTCTGGCGAGCCGCGCATGGATGTATAATCTCATTAATGACCTTCCAGTACTCAGTTCTGGACTAGTGTCACATTTACGAAACTTGTCATGTTCCAACTCATTCTTGCTACTACATTGTCACTAGTAGTTTCATGAATGTATTCAATTTTATCTTTGTTCAATCTTTTCCAGAGTAGCAGTGATGGTATTCAAGCAAAGTTGACCATGAATTATGCCATAAAGGACAATAACGTCAATTGTCTTGCATCACACACTTTCGTAGCAAAACAGTCCAGCAATATCATGACGTGTGAGACTTGCTATGAGCATCTTGCATGAATAATCGTTGGATATCGAGTTCTCAGAGTTTCGTGTGTTATGACTGGGATGATGACGTGGACACCTGATGTTATAGCACTGTGGAGGATTTCTTTGCGCAAATCCTGAGGATTAAGCTTCCTAAATTATAGCAGAAAAATATTTTGCTGACTGCTTTAATACCTGATCTTTGCGATAACTATTGTGTTTGTCACAGTATATGTGGGACGTCAACTGTTCAAGCAGAAAATGCATCTTTTGTTAAGTACCTGGAGTGGAGTGGTCATCGGACTTGGGAAACGTAAGTTCACTCACTGATGTGGTATTTACTTTGTTCAAAGTTGCCTACGATCTGTGCGACCTTAAGCTATTATCCCATCCTATTACATGCTGTGATCTGGCAGTATATTGAAGAGAGCCTCTTCTCAGATATATGAAGATAATCAGCTTAGTTTATCATACAACTTAACAGAACTCCCTCAAGCGTTATTAATGTTTCTGTAATTTACAATAGATATCCAATGTGTCCTGTCACATACTTTGGGTCTGTAAACCTTTTAATAGTCTTGATAGTGACCTTCAGGTGTGATGTGAGGACACATTATGGAACAGATCTTCTTGCCTCTTAAGCCTCTTTCAATCTCTTGATGTCCAGGAAGAATGGAGAGAAAGCATTGTATAAACACTAGTATATGCAGCAGGTACAGCTGAAATGAACATATTTATTGATGTCTGCTGATCATGAACATGAGACATGGTCTTGTGCAAGAGACCTGGAGATCTTCCTGAGAGAAGCAGGTTGAATATTATATTATTTCCAAAGAGTTGTTCCAGAGACTTTAATTCTACCCAGAGAATACATCCATAGGTAACATGGGCTGTCCTGTTCATTTACCCTCTTCAAAGAACAACATACAAATGCAGTATCATAATTCTTTATTCATGAAACAAATAGTCACTAGAAAACTGTACAAAAAGTATAACAGCCATGATTGCTTTGGTCTACTAAACCGTACAGGACAGTAATAAGTACCATTATTGCTCTATCTCAACCACACAGGAACGTAGAGCATGAAGGTGGACAAGGACTATACAGACTTACAAACTTAAGCTCTTTGGAAAATGTTAAGTATCAACACAAAGGTTTGAATACCACAAGCAAGACGAAAGAGTCAGAATTCAGTAAACCATCCTCAACTGAGTGGACATCTGAAGTGCATGAGGAACTACCTTCATCAAAATCTGAAATCCCATAGTATGAATCTGATAAAATCTTTAATGTCATTGACTTTGACACCCAAAGACATTCATTTTCTGTTGCTGTTGACACAAAACCAATACAATGGAGGTGAGTACAGCTATGTGTTTACTTCTTCAACATACAGTGCTTCTACAAAAACAAAGGAATAAAAATATTCACCTTTCTAGTCAAATGGTATTCAAACCTTTCAAAGCAATAAACAATTACTTTTGTTCACAAAGAACTTGACTTCGGAAACATAAACATCTTACCAGCAGTGGTAATAACAGTGGTGTTTGTGATTTCATACAATCACACTAAATGTAAGATTTTTCAACACTACTTTTTGTAAACTTCTTTAATGCCGAGGTCATTAAAATATTCGCTCATTCAACACATGAACTGACATGAGTATGAATATTACCAAGATACTTGAATTATCCAGTATTCATTGCAATCAAAGACATGATAATATTTATCTTACCCTACACACATATACTAAGATCAATACCTAAAAAATTAAACAAACGCTGCAAAGTTACTACATGCTCATAATACAATTGAAAATGGAACAAATTACTAAAAATAAAACAGTCTGGAAAGTTTTATTGCATGTGATATTTAGAGTCTGGTAAACTTCATCAGAGGTACTGGTATTCTCCACTGATAAATCAGCTCTAAGTATTAGTAAAACTAGGGATGGAAAAAAGCTGTTGTGTTACAAACATACATACACTTCATATTTCTATAAAGCTATTTACAACAATGCTGACTGCAAACCATTTAATAAGCATAGAGCTTTTAGCAAGATAATTGTATTGTTACATACATTGTACACACTGCTCACATATCATAGAAATGTAGATTTCTATCTTAGATAATGCCCTTGCAAAATCAAAATGGCAGAATGAAACTATATAACTATACATGGAAAAGGAAATACTGACCTTTCAAATAATTGTAATGTAAAGGACTAGAAATAAAACACTGCTTTCATAATGGTTTTGATATGATTAAATATGCCACTCATCATAAATGAATGTTTTATCAAAAATAAGTAATGCCATTTAAAATTTTCCATTCATTTCATGAACATAATGCCTGGAAGAAATCTTAATGTTTCTGCTTCCTTATATTAAGAAAACAACTCCTCCATAGTCTGAGTATGCATATGCCTGTTCTGGAGTCGACTATACTTCCAATGCATCTAGTTCATGTACACACTCTTCAGGTAAAAACGTCTCTGCTTCATATTGTTCCAACAAACCAATAAAGTGAGTTATGTGGACATAACGTTTTCTCATTATAATATATATTCACTAAAGCAACAAATGAAAGACTGATGCGTGTTACAAAATAACATCTAAAAAGTTTACATTTTACTCACTTCACGTTCTAACTTCTGACACAAAAGACAAAATATTGTTTTTCATTTCCAGGTCATTTTGTCATTTTCACCCTGCTCTTTACCATCTTTCTCCCTGTTACATGGCAATGACACCCTTTAGTTGTAGTGTGAAATGCAAAGTCCCAATTTTTATAGGCATTTTGTATATCATTTTCAAAAGAAACAATAAATGCTGATTCCCATTTCACTGCCTTTATAACAGTTCTCTTTAGAATAAACACTTAAGTAGAAAACTTTACCAACATATTGGTTTGTCCTCACTGTCCTGCAAGGGTGCTGAGCTTAATGCTACGTTACCAAATTAATGAAATGATAGTCTATCATACATTATACTATTCAAAATACTTTTTGAATATTTTTAGGATTCCATGAAGCATGAGCAGAATTAGTACTCATTAATTGGAACTTAATGACCTAGAATGATTTCTGTATCACAGTAGCAAGAAGACATTGTGTAATATAACTTTGTAAATGGATTACAGTTTGTGATGGCAGCCAAGGATACTCTCACAAAGCAACAAATCCATCACTGTGACCATTTTGTGGCAATAAGGAGGAGCACTGGTCCAGAGATTAAGTGCTATTACTTTCTAGCAGTTTCTGTTAAATGTGTATCTTCAGAACTAGTCAAAGAAAGTCCATGGCAGTTTAAGCCATAATGGTTGTTGCTCATGACAATTTTAATCTATCTGCAATACTGCAAAACAAATCTATAGTGTTAACATGTTATCATCTACTTTTTACTGAAAGCCTTGGTTGGGCATTTCACTTTTTGTTTCAGCATCATGGAACAAGGACTTCAAAAAATATTTGTAACATGAGGTCATAAAACTGGCATATAAAGTAGCATTGACATCATATTATACAACACTCACATAACTGATGACATTTTTAAAATTAGGCTAAAGATTGATCAGAATTTTGTGTCACTTGATATCATTGTCTGTTACAGACCTTACCAACAAAGTTGACAACACAGAGAAACGGTTTGACATGTTTCAGCACACACCACATACAGCGTGGACATGTATGCACATTGATCTATGCACACCGAAATACTTTTAAAACAAAGGGGCATTGAGAGTGGCTGCAAATCTGATTTGTCTGAGAAATTGTGGAACTCTTAAAACTGCCATTTCTGCAAGTCCAGTGAATTACCTTAGCATTCTTGTATTCAGCATGAAGAAGAGGTTCATACTTCAGCGCTTTAGGTTGATAATATCCAGATTTCAAGTTACAGCATTCACTTGTTTGTAGGATAACTAACTCACATACCTTACAAATGCCATAAACATGCTTTCCTGACTTTAAAAAAAGGGCCTGCAGGAAAGATGTCAAACAGACAATGTACCACGATGACTATTGACCTGCACCTCTGGTTCAGAAGCCTCAAAATCTGTACAACATGTATACAAACTTAACGTGTTGACAATGTACAACATGGACACAAAACCAAAGTGCACATGTAAGAAATAATCACTATACAAAGTTAACTAACTGTACACTATGTTGATATGAATGGTATCTGAATGGTTTGGGTACCATGACAATGAGTAGGGAGATTCACACCAGGGTCTTTTTGAAACAGAGCCATGAGACTCTGTAGCTCACCTACAGTGTAAAGGACCATTAAACAATGACAAATTAATATCAGATCTGTTCAGAGCAGTGCCATTTTAGCCCTATTTAAAAGACTGGAATAATTTTAGAACTGCTTAATCTGACAACAGATGTTGTTTACACTTTCCAGGACCATGAAACAAGCTCATAGTTGAAAAGATTTGCCTAAATATCAATGCCAAAAACACTGCATACATATAATGCTCACTTCAAACAACATAATAAACTTATGCATGAGTAAACTTAATGGTTAGGTAATTATCAGCTATGACATTAACATAATCAGTTTGGCCATCGTAGTTAAATCTATGAATAACTTTACTACTTAATTCGGGAACATTATAAATCTTGTTTACATAAGTTTGAATAATGGACAACAAATCAAATTTTAAGACTTATATTCAATTCTGATTGTTAAACCTGCCTTAACACCTCACGAAATGATGTCAACACAAAGAATAACATTTATCCTTATCCTGTGTTAAAGAACAATCTTCCAATAGGTCCAAATTAACCTTTTGCTTTACCTTACCAATTACATACTGAAATAATTAATCCCCAATCCTTGTCAGATCACAATCATGATCATGCTTGCCTTATATAATGACAATCAAGATAATGTGTTGAATGATGTCTGTCCGATTCTTCTTCTATTACCAATACACAAGACGTTCTGCATCAAATATGAAGGTACCAACTCTACCAACATACCTTCATCGAGCAATGTACTGCATTTTATCTGCAAAATAACATTGTAGTGCCGCTGCTCATATTTTACTCAAAGGTCAATGCTGGAAAACAAAAAACATAATTGATACAGTCAATGAGAACATGTTTTATCTTATGATTTACAGGTGAAAAGGTTTTGATCACATACAACTTAAAATCAGTTCCAACAATTAGAAAAAATATTTATACGACAACCATGCCTTTCTACAATATGCATTAAATGATATATTTTGGCATTATTTGAAAATTCAATGAATGTTAAATCAGGAAGAAAACCTTGTTACAAAGATTCAAAGGTTTGCTCGGTTCCATACAACAGACCACTAGTGAGAATCTCAGGCAAAATGATGCCAATGAATGTCAAACACATACACTCAATAATAACCTGCTAAAAACAAGACATACAACAGCCAATATAGAAACTGACTATGATAAGTAGTGACACATGATCACAACACATATAGCACTGTGAAGTGGAAGCTCTGTACAGGATATGTATACAAAAACATACATGGTTAAATAGAATCTAAGTTGGTCTAAGTAATGGCATGGTATTAACAGATTATTGAATGACTAACAATTCAACACAAGAGAACAAACTTGTGAATTTTAAGAAGGACATGACTTCATCGGTCTACAAGCACAAAGTGATCTTAGTGCCACAACAGTTATAACGCCCAGACTTTCACACAGACTTATGATAGTCGTAGAACTAAGATTGTATTGTTTAAGTGGACCCTGATCCTTAAGGTGGCTTGTGTTTCATCCAGTATGAATTAGGAAGTAGGGCTATTTGATCAGGTTGTTTGGGACAATCAAATGTTCTCACCTACACGCATTCAGTCTTATTGTTAAACAGATCAGTAAAATACTGCAAAGTTTTGTATGATCTCATTTCTTAACAAAATATTTGCAATATGGTAAAATGTTATGCCTTAATTTGTATGAAAGTTAAAATTCTGTGTGCTGACATATCTAACACTTCATCTATTAACAATTCCGAGCAGATTCTTGCATGAATCAGGTCACAAAAGCGGACATAGTATTCTCCTGGAAATAGCTGACAAAATTACTAATATGTAGTGTTACTTCACATCACAACCAGTAAAAGGTTTTCTAACTCTTGCGTGAATTTAACGATAGCTTTGTTGTTCTTATTCTAAGGTAATAAGTGCACATTAGAACATGTCTGTCTTGATATCCACTGTACATTGTGTGACGTTATCATTAAACACAGCAGTCCTTACACTCTGGCAGACATTGTTCTCAAATGGGATTGTGTTTTCAGTTAATGCTCCAGTGCATTCCTAAATGTGAAAAACAACAAAAGATATTACAGATTGCCATCAGGTATTTCCAGTTGAATTACATTTCAATATTCACACAGCACTATGTGTAGTATATGTTACAAGTCAAAGACACACAAGTACACTAAACATTTGTAACTAGTCTTAAACAATGTACATGGATTTCATTTCAGTGAAAAAACAAACACAGCAACAAAAAAATTAATAAACAAATACTGCATACCTCTGCATATGGACCATTCTCAAAAATGGTAACTCAGCATGTAAACATTTCACACATCTTTGATCATGATTATCTTCATAGAGTTTTAGTTCAAGTTCATCTTCAGTAATATTCCTCACAAATTATATGGATTATCATGGATAACATATACAGGCAACAAAACAAAATGAATTCTCAGATGGACTCTGACAAAATGGTGCAAGTGTGTGCTGTATTTTTTGGTCAAAATGGTAACATATATACTTGAAGCTCACAAGCACAGTTGTCTAGATGCAAGTGGTGCCTGAGAATCAAAGAATTATTTTAGCCTTGATGCAAAAGGTGTCATGGAAGTAGCAGTGGCCTAAACAAAAATAAATGAAGGCTAGTGCAAAGACAACTACAAAAAAAGGAAACAACTGTTCCCTTGGCAGGACTCCTCACACTGTCAATGATATACTGTCATGGAACTCCTTTGTGATCAAACCCCTGCATAAGCTCAGGTCACCATTCTGACTTGGCAGTGGAAACTCTTTTATCAGTAACTGTCAATAGCAGCCTTGTGTTGAATGATCCGATCACGTACGGTAGCCAATTATTCACTCTCATTTCCAGCTTGAAGATGGTCACTCTTTCAAGAGAAACCCCACATACAGCTCTTCCTTGTGGTTCTGGCTGTACCCTCTTCCTTTCTCTCTGACACGAATAACAGAGATTCAAAGAAATCTTTACCACATGCATACTTAACATGCGCCAACTGTGGTCATCACCAAGGATGGTCCTTTGATTCAGGAAGCCATGTCACACACAAAAACAAACAGCTGCATTCACAGAACAGCTTCTCTGTTTCTGATGCTCATTCTCATAAAATAATCGTGCATAAACATTTTGCCTCAAGATACATTTAGTAGTTTTTCATCACATATAAGCAATAAATGCAGTTGTAAAGTGTGTTGCACCATTACACTTGATACCCTGAATTCTCCAAAGAAAGAACAGTACACTGCAAAATAAATAATGTGACAGCATTGTATACTATGTCACAAAATGCTTCAGAGTCCAAAAACAAAATGAATTTCTTGTTCTTGATCACAAAAGAAGACAAAATATCTTCAGTTATGGGTCACAACAATTACCTCAGGGTTTCAAACAAGACTTTACACTGTCTTCTCCAATATTCATCCTCAAGTTTGTGAGAGTGCTTCATGTCCTTTGCCCAGTGTTGTGTCTTCTGTGTAAGTTTATGAAAACAGTTCTCACAAAATAAACATTAATCACTGACCAACAGAGTGTGACTTAAGTTCTCAAAAATGTAATTTGTACACATCATTCAACTGACCACAATAAATGACTGACTTTCACAAGAATACTGGTGGTCCATTTTTCAAATCAGTCTGGAAGAAACTCCATGCACAGTGTTCTTGGAGATCATACACACGCCAGTCCTTCAGCAACACATAGATCAGCACATCATACACACGCCAGTCCTTCAGCAACACATAGATCAGCACCTCTCCAAACTGTTTAAGTAAAACTCTTCTCTTCTTTAGCTGGCTCAGTCTAGCACAATGACTTCTTCTTTCCTACCAGTTTCCCCCTCATCAGTTGCTACTGGAGGGGAAGGAAGAGTGACAGGCTTCTGGTCTTCCTCTGCAACATGGACATTGATGAGGAACCAATAACATGGACAAAAGACTTGAACAAGTCTGATTTTATGCTTGTAAATGGCCTCTGACCCATTTTTAATCAGTTTCAAAATTTGGAGATTAAGATTTTGAATTGTACTTCAAAATAATACAGCCACAAAATCCTCCCCAGTTACTTATAATTTTAAGTGTGTTTCCCGGAATATCAATGAAACAATTTCTTCCATTGCCTCACATCTGAACTACATATAGTTGATTAATGGAGCCAAATTCTTGGACCGTCCTGGAAAATTGATGAGGGAAGAATCCTATGATGAATTGAGTGTTGAAAAAGCATCAACACCCCCCACACAGACACACACTAATTGGTAAGTACCATTCCTCGCTACAACTAATGACACTTACATTTCATTTCAGTAAGTACACATTGCCACAGATTGATAGTTATTCTGTATGTCAAATCTATGTGGCATATAATACATCGTTGATGGTCTTTATTATCATGTGAAATTATGAAAAAAATTCTTTTAGCATTTTATATCATGCCTGTGTTATCATACACTGTGATGAAAGAAATGGCATTACCGGTAATATAATTGCTTTTCGAATGGTCCCCTAAATACCAGTTAAACTGGGTCAACTGTACTTGTGGAGAAAACCTATGCATGAATTGCAAGATTTAAGAGTTGAAACCTAATTGAAGTAAGTCATTTTCATAGTAATTATCCAGACGTAATGACAGTAACTTACCTTGTTGTTCCTCTGTGGGCTTCTCAGACCCATCATTTGTGTTCTGAGATTGCTTGAGTTTTTGGACCATTTCCTCAAGCCTTCGACATGGCTGTTTTGGAGGTGGGGGAGATGAAAGGGAAGTAAGACTAGGCCGTTTGAGGCTTGTTGAACTTTGACTGGCATCTGCTGGAGTTTCTGCTGGTGGGGCAGATAAAGTGGTATCTGAAGCTAGTACAGGAGAATCAGTGGTAGGCTTATCACCTGCAGTGCCATTCTGGTCCTCAGAACCTTCTGTGGGTGTATCACATTGACTGAACATGTAGGACATTTGTGGGAAGTACTTCTCAAGGTCTGTCAGACTGATCATCTTGTTACATTTTAAAACGCTCACTGGCAGGTTGTAATACTGAATGAAAGCCTTTTCTTCATCTTCATTACATGAATGTAAAGGAATCTTCAACACATTCTGTAGGGCATAGAGAAATTCATTCATACTACTTTGTGAAAAATATAATTTACACACAGCTTCCACTAAGCAGAATTTGCCTGGTTTCTCTGCATGATCCAAATGCATGCATGATATGCTCTTTCCATTCAGCACTACTCCACTGATTTTGTCAACTAAGGATGACCGCGAACTAGACCTGCTTTGGCCCGAGCTCTGATTGGATGGTGGACGTTGAGGAGCATCACCATTCATTGTAGGGATACTGGCAGGAGCAGGTGCAGAGATTGGAACAGTCTTTGGACTACTGGATATAGAGGAAGCAGCTGGAGATGTTGCTGCATATGTAGAATTAGGAGTGCTTGCCAGTTTTCCATTTTGATTATTCATCTGCTGACCAGGGAGCATGCTATGAGGATTAGGAAAACGAGAGATAGCACTTTGAGATGGTGACAACTGTGGCATCTGAGCAGTGTGCAGCATTGGGCCTCTTGGCATCATCTCAGTGGGGGCAGTCATAGGCATTCTCATGCCTTGACCTAACCCCAGTGGAGACATACCAGGACCTTGACTGATGGGTGTAGTTTGACCGGGGCGAATCATTGGATTCATGGGTCCTATGCTTCCTGGATGTATCTGCCCTGGGAATGCCCCCTGCATTGGATGCATCTGTCCATTTTGAGCCATGTGAGACATCATGCTCAGAGGACTGCTCTGGGGATGACTTGGTGATGGGCGGCCAGAAGGTTGGAATTGACCATGCTGTGAGGGCATCTGACCAGGACTTGGAAGGCTTTGTCTAGGTGGAGAGCCCATGTTAGACCTCGGGTTAGGCATGTTTTGTGGAGGCATGAAGGGAAATCGTTGTCCTTGAGGTGGCAAGGGATACTGGCCCATAGGTTGTTGGGGATACCGTTGCGGCATCATTGGCATCATGTTGAAGAAAGGATTTGGTGGAGCACTAGGGTATCCTGCAAATGGATTGACATTGGGGGATTGCACACTGCCTGGAGGTCTCTGTCCTATTGGCACTTGGTTTGGTGCTGTCTGTTGGGCTTTTGTAGGTGAAGGAAGGTCTATGTACTGAGCATGTTTCAGTGGATCATCAAATGGAAGCTCAAGAATGCTAACTTGGCATCGTTGTGTTACTTCTGATAAGTGGATAACTTTTGTGTTCTGGCCAAATGTGAAATCAAATCCAGCAGCTTTACAAGTTTCATTGAGCAAATTGCACTCAGCTAAGGTTGGCAGTGTTCCTTCAATCTGCAACTCAGTCAATAAACCAGCAGCATATTTAATCACTGATAGGGGAACAAACTTTCCAGAGTAGCGTCTGATATATGGGGACACTGTATTGTTGATTTGGACCCAACCACACACCTTAGCCAATTCTGATTTGACATGTTCAACTGGCTTTCCTTCATTTTCAACTGGCTGTTGAACTTGCTGTTGTGGAATCTCTCCTCTTAGTTTTGCTAAATAGTCATCAGGAAAAGTCTTTTTAACAAGATTATAGAAATCCTCAAATTCAGCCATATCAACTATAAGGTCCTTGCAGGTAAATGCCTGCTGTCCATACTCACAGCTACAATGGACCTGGTTAATTTCATCAAGTAGTTTGGCTTCATTCTCAGTCACAAAATAACTAACCAGAGGTTCCTTCTTTCCCAGTTCATCAGGAAAAGAGTTTGGGTACCTGCTCAAAAGTTTCTTCTCTACAATCCGAACAGCCACATACTTCTTATGTTTCCTCACAATATATGGAACATTGACAGTGTCTATAGTTGCCCACCCAAATATTCCTTTGATACTATCAACATCAATTCTATCCTCAATATTGTCATCTTCATTCTTGTCAGAAGGTTCCAGTGACGGAGGTTGTTGTGACTGCTCCTTCTCTAGTGCTGAAGATTGTGGTGCTTGTGGTGCTTGTGGTTGTGGATGTGGTTGTGGAGGTGGCTCTGGATTGTAGTTGAGAACTTGGACATTATGTGGAACATACAAAGGGCCAGGTCCTGGTGGACGCAGCATTGGAGGACTAGTAAGAACATGTTCCAGCTGCTGAACATAGGGAATCTGGGGCGGGTTAGGATCCACTGGTTCCGGCTTCATTCTTACTGGCATGTTGAGGAATGGAACCTAAAAGAAAGGAATATCATCAAAATATGTTTGCACTCACCTTAAACTATAAACTAAGACAGCATTGTCATACATATGTCATTTGCTATCTGTGTAAAGGCTAAAAACATACACAATACAAAACAGATGTTTCAGTCCAGGGCCCCATTCCACAAAGCAATTGTAGCACTATGACAGTCGTAAGTCTATGTTAAAGTATGGGAGTTACGATCACCATAGCGCTACGATTGCTTTGTTGAACAGGGCCCAGGTATGGTTTGAAGAGTCATGTCACAAAGAATACACACTTAGTTTTTAAGATATGATATTTTTTAATAAAACTGTAAGGTAAGCATTAAAATATTTACCTTTTTCCTAACTAATTTGAAATAGTTCATGTCTGGGCCGCTGGCTTGTTCTAAACTATTCACATTTTGAACACTCATACAGTACTTCAAGATATAACCTACTATCCAATGAAAATGTGTGAATACACCCTTTAACATTGCAGGATTAGAAAATTCAATTGACAGTTGTCAAGCAAGGGTCCCACAAGTACCTTAGCTGATAAGGTTGTTGACTGCTGTAAGATCATAAACCCTCAATCAATACTACCATGACTACAACTGGCCTCTTATGGAAAACATGTTTGAACACATCTAAACTGTTTCAAACTGAAAATTTAAAATTACGAATAAACTTACACGTATCTACATCATTATGGGTTGCTACATTTTTCACAAAGATTAAAGTTCTTTTCATATTTACAGCCAGAGAGAATCGAAAAATATAAAAAGAAATTATAAACAGATGATTTGTCTTTACAAACATGTAATTATCTTAAAAGTTCATGTGTAATCTTGAAAACAGAGTTAAAGTTGGTATAAAAACAAAATTTGTGTAATTAGAACATTCTTTGTTATACTAACACTTAAATTCTTGATCTTAAAAAAAACTAAATTATTTTATTACCTAATGCAAATAATATTGACAAATGGATAATTGCTTTTAGCTGTGCAATGTCACTGCATGGACTTCAGCCCTGCCACATTAGTACAAGTAATTCTATAATTGTCAGAAAGCACTCCATCAAATCACAAGAGCTTTGTCTTGACTGTGAGTGTGAAGCACCTAATTCTAAAATAACAATGATTTGTATCTGGAGCGAAGAAGGCGGAAGTATCGGTTGTATAATATAGTGTCTTAAGTAGCAGTTCCTGGGTTTAGGCCTTGTGGTGTATGGAGAATACGGACTTTGTGACATGTACATTTGTTGCCATATCAGCCCAAGTAGGTCAACAAAGAGCACATTCACATGTTTCTGCTTGTGGGATAAAGAAATATGAATGTCAGTGCTACAGAATGACAGGTCTCGACTTTCCAACAAAACAGATTCTCAGTTATGCAAAAAGGGCAAGACTGTCCTGCCCTTCTAGTAGCGCTCACATACAACGATATGTGTTGCCTGCCAGGTAGCATCAACTACACGGAACAGTATCCCAGGCTACATCACATTGTATCTGAGACCTTTGGTCCCCAGGGAGTTTCACTTTATCAAGTAGTCTCTTTAAGGGCACAAAAGTGGAGATCGATTGAGGACACACACTTCACAATAAAGTCTTTAATGAACCTTCTGAAGACTTAGACACACTAAAAAAGCATTCACAGTCATAAAATCAAGAGAATTCATCTGAAGCATGACTTCATGCCTCAATAACATCAATAAGAAAATATCATCAATACCAGAAATACTAACATGATAAACACAATACATGGGAACCAAACTTTCACAAATTTTTATTCCTGACTGAAAACAGTTTAGTAGAATTGACTGAAAGGCTTGTGCAGCCTTGATGCAGTATCATCTGTTTACAGAGTTTTTCAAAGCAACAAAGGTTCAAAACATTCACTTTTAAGAGTGGAGACTGTAAGTCTGTCATACACCATTGATCTTGCTTTAGCATGCTTTTAACATTTGCCTGTCTGTAGTTAAATATTTGACAAATATTCAACACTGCATATAGGTCATTGAAAAATGGCTACATACATTATTTATGTCACATCTAACACTCTACAACTAAAGTTACAATATTCGGCATAGAATACAGGTCCCTTCAGAATATGATCAGTAACTAATTGCTCTGAGTGTAAAGAAATACATTTGAGTTCTGAATTGTGAAGTAACTAAAATTGTGAATCCCTGTAAAAGTAAGACATGTGGTGTCCTGTCCACGTGTCCCAGTAGCTACAACTGTGAATGAAGGTCAAGGTCACAAAAGAGTTGACATTTGACAATATGTCATCGGAGAGCATGGTAATTATCATGAGGACACATGTGTCAGAGGTTGAAGAACAGGAAGAACTTTTTGAAAAGAAATGAACATCTGAAACATGCGTATTGTTCAACATTTAGAATTGGAATTATTTTAGTCGGAAATATTTTTTATTCGATAATAGAGCTAGTTATTCCTCACAATATCTAGATATTGGTAAATCACACCATAAGACTCATGTGAGCAATAACGAGACACAATCCTAACATTGAGCAAATGAAACAGCCACCAATAATACTGTGATCAAGATGATCAAGGATACTTCCTGTTGAGACACAAACGTGAGTATGTTGTTTACACTATCAGTTCTTTTATGTCTTGATTTAACAAACATACCAATAAGAAATATACTTTCTAAATGTTTCATTTTTTATGAACATCGATTAGTAACCCAAGCCCATCACTGACAAAAGCAAGATCGATCGATTGACTGATTATTCAAGCAATCACTCCAGCACTATTCAATACTATGTGCAGTCATAATGCAACAAATCAATACCTATGATCAATGCAATAAATTATTACCAGAGTCAATAATCAGTGTGCACTCAAATTTCATTCACTTCTCCCTGGGGAGTATAAATCCCTGGCAGCCATCCATCTGTCACATTTCCATGTCATCCTACTGGGTATCCATTCAATGCTGATTGAATGGAGGCATATTTTGAACAAAATCTCTTCCTTAGGAGACGCCAGATGTTAGATGTGAAGCAGTGCGCTGTAGGAAAGAGACTTTTAGGTACAACGCTTGCCAAACACGGATATCCATTAATATCCCCTTCAACACCCCTGCATTACATTTTAAGTTTTATGATGCACTAGAAACAGGATACATATTTATCCATACGCTACAATACTTGCAATGAATGTTGAGTCATGGCAGCATAACCTCAGTACAGGCTTGCAGCACAAAAAAACCTTACAAGCTCAGAAGCTTTGTATCCATGGTACAATACTGCAATGCTGCGTGCTTGGTTTAGTTGAGGTAAAGATTAATGCTGGAATTATTCCAAGGCCTCTATGAGGCCACAATACTGGAATTTGTAATACTATTGACAGGCTCACACTTGTCATACATTTACACAATGGCCAACAGGGTACTTGGACTTACAGATTATTGCCTGTGTACTGGCAAACTGAGAAAAATAATTCCAATTTCCAAGGATGATTTATAGATTGACTTCATATTGCATAAAATGAAACTTAAGAGTATTGTTAGTAAATTCCACACATCAATCCTGGATTATAATAGAAGCTGATTATCTTTCGCAACAGATGTCACTGGGTGTAATAAGGAAAACAGTGATAAAAACAGCACACAAAACTCACTAATCATTAATGCAAAGTGACTGGCATGGGTATGACAATGTCACTTTGCACCAACACAATGGTCAGAATAATGTTACATTTTTAAATGACTCATATGAGGTCTTTTGATAGGACTGAAGCTTATGCTGTAGTGTTAACAAAAGTGGAAGCAAAAGTATAAATTTAACATTTAAAACTGACAAATGATGGATGTCTTACAGCGAAGGCAGAATCAAACTGATTCACAAACCACAAGGCCAAACTACATGTACCAATTCTAATTCATTGTGTACTATTCTAAGATGCCTAGTGGTTAGAACAATAAAAAAACAAACATCAGACAATAAAGGTATAGTTTTTTTATGACGTAACAACTGAATGACATTATCCCGTCAATGCGCCATTCTAGTGTGCCCCCTCGTAATCAAACCATTTTACTTTACGTCACAATGTAAGCGATGTCACGATGCATGTCAGTTGTCATCGCCTCATACGGCCTCCTACAGTAAACTACTCCGTTGCATCCCGTTTCTTGGTTTGCAGTTGCTTCATGCAGCTAACATCACTGGTGGAAACATTACGTTTATGTTTTATGATGGTTAAAATGTGTCAATTCGACTCACAAGTTTTAATGTAAACGTTCGCAATGTTTACATTCCCACAATGCAATTGTGGAATGTCGCTTGACTACTGAGCTTCATCTGGATGTACTGATCTAAACTTACGTTGGTAGTAGAAATGCGATGTTCATATTGCCCCATATGGTTTACGTTAACGACAGATGTAATTAAAATAAATCAGAGAAGATAATCCGAACGTAAACCGTCATCAAACTGTTATCATTTGTTTTCTTCTGGTAACGTTCGTCTTAACGTAGGGGGACAGACATATCAATAGAACAGCGCGCCAGTTAACCCTGTGCGAGGATTCTTAATTTAGGTCACCGACACCGTCGTTTGTTTTCTGCCTTAAATTAATCGTAATTATTGAATTTAAATTAAAGTATTAAGTATTAAATTTGGCATCTTAGAAAAGAAATACAGTTCGCTCTACCACCATGAAGTGTAATAAAGCACACTTTTGCCCTGAACTATTATAACGTTAAAGCACTCGGACGCAAGCGTCCTTGTACTTTAACTATAATAGTTCAGGGCAAAAGTGTGCTTTATTACACTATACATGGTGGTAGAGCTAACTGTATTTCTTAAATAGAATCAGTATTCCAAATCTCACATTATACAGAAAGTTGCACATGCCTAAATCTCACATTATACAGAAAGTTTCATATGCCTAAATGTCACATTCTATAGAAAACTGAACATGCACAAATCTATAGAAAATAGAATGTGACCAACCAAAAACCATGGAAGTAAACATACC